TTTTTATATTTTTTATATTAATTGAAGTTCGTTTTTTTTTGGTTAAAAAATTATTATAAATAGCAGAATTGTGAAAGATTGCATGCACATTCGTTAGAACCTAAGCTACATGATGATATTTTCAAAAAAAATTTTTATTATGTAAAAGTTTGCGGAATTAATAAAAATCGAGGTTCGGATACTTTCTTCCAGGCAGTGTATGTGTTTCCATAATTATCTTGTGTATACACTGTTTCTTCATTATTCATTGATTGTGGTTGTCCATCAAGGGTCACTGGAGTCCATGTATCAAATGAATTTGTATTTATTGAATAAGCTGTAGAACCAGGTGGTTTATCTCTATATCCAGCTATAATATAAAGTGTGTCATTATTAACTCCTCCTAATGCTAATGATGCACAACTAAATGGAGGTATTACTGATTTTGGAACAATTAGTTTTATTGGTAATGTTTGATTAAGTGAAAATGATGTGGATAAATCTAGGCAAATTATTTGGTTTATAAGAAAAAAATAGCCATTATCTCCTCCAAAATAATAGAGTTTATCATTTAACACTATTGAATTTTGATGACGTACACCAGAAACCAAAAAATTGAAACTATCTAATAAAAATAAATTGAAAATTATTATCAATAAATTTAATGATTTTAAATAGTTGTGATGATGTTTTGTTAAATTATCCATTTTTTTTTAAAAAAAAATTGTAGTATTAAAAAAAATAAACTTGCATTCATTGCCTTCAAAAATGAATATTCTATTTAAGGAAATCAATGTACAAAATAAAAAAGATAATCTATACTCAGTCAGTAGAGATTCCTATTAAAAATAGTGGTTTGCAATAAATAGCATGATTTCATAGAATATGTTATTTTACTATTTAATAAACTTTAAATTGTTACTTAAAAACAGAATGTTTAATTTTAATTAAAAACTGAAATAGAGGTTTTCAATATCAACTTTATTTAGCAAATTTAAGAAAATCGATCCCATTATATCAAAAATAAACAAAACAATTGACAATAACCATTACAATTGTTGAGAGCAGCAGTGCTTATTTTGACAATTTGATAATTATATATTGATGATATATTAGTAATAATGACAAGAATTATTTATAATCATCTAGTTAGCTATATTTTATTGCAATAAAATAGTCACTTTTTTAACTTTGAGAAAATGGGATCCAGTTTTTAAGTGCAATTTGAAAATCAATTCTAGAACCCTTTGTTGACCAATTCATATATGTTACAAATTTCATTGATGATATTGATAAATCATTCTCTTTCAAATCTGTTCACAGCATGCTTTTAAGGGTATTTTTTTCCTTTATTTGACTATAGTGGATATCAACTGCTAGCACCTTGCCTTTTTGATTATTCTACTTTCTGGGAAACACTAAAATATTCAGAGAGCCAGTTGAATCAATGTGCTTCTAAACATGAAAAATATATTAAAATTACTTGCCAAGTATTTTACTGGGTTTCCTTTATGATTATTCTGTTTATGTAAGTCATTATTACAATCCAATTGGTTAATAATGATGTCTCTTTAATTGTTAAGAGTATGCTTTTACCTAAATTTAAGGAAGTTGAACATAAGAAATTTAATTATCATGCTTTGATGGACAAAAGTTTGATTGCTGAATTCTAGTAAAAATTGAAGGAGTCATGTTTACTACTTATTATTATTATTTTAATGAAAAAGGGATATTCATAATCATGCATGCACTTAAAAATGGTAAGATTATCTGGGGAGGAGAAAGTATATAGAAGGCCTAGAAAAGAAACAAACATGACTTTTTTAATCTTTATCGATTTAATTTCCAAAATAGGAAATATCAAAAGAGCATTTCTCTGTCATTATTCTTGTATGTTGTAAATATTTTTATCATGCATTGTATGATTTCAATATAAAATAAAAATTAACAATATCATACTTGATGTTGACCTTTTTGAATTGCGAAAAAATTTAGCATGAAAGTAAGAGTAAAAGAAAGAATGATTCATCATTGTGTATTTTAAGATTCTGGACTTGGCCCAGAACCTTTAGCATTACCATTAGTATGTAAAAACATAATAATGACCTGTATATAGTATTAGTATCATTAATTTGTGGTTAATTTGTGATGTACATGATGACAACATGAAATCATCTACAATTTATTTTTTTTGGGAGATATGTTTTACAAAGAGTGCAATAAAAATCAAGCCTAAACCAAAAACATATTGTATAGTACATTTTTTTTTAAAAAATAATTAATTGTATATATACAGGTCATATAAAAATTTATGATAAATTTATCAAGTTTATTTTTTATTGACTGTCAACAATGGCACATATATTAATAATGTAAAAGAAGTTCCACAGAAGGAATTATTTTCATAGCAAAAAAGTGAGATTAGTATTATATTTAAATATGTTTACATAATTACATAAAAATAAATGAACATGATATTTAGAATTAGAAATTCATTAATTATTGGATGACTTTTTTCGAATATTTGGATACACTTGGTGAGGTTAAAAAAAGTAAAAGACACTATTTTGCAAAGTGTCACTATTATGTCAAATTTTTTGATGTAGGTTACCTATGGAAACTTGAAAAACATCTGGCAAAAGAATATGATGGCTGCACTATTGCAAAAAAACTGTTAAAAAAAAAAGAAAGTAATCAAATTTCTTCTAATAAACAAAAAGAACAACTAAATTTGTCTGAATTCTATGAAATATTTTATTGAATTACTTGGACAATTTAGACACCAGCTAATAGAAAAGCAAATTAACATGCAACTTGTGGAGATACAAATGATTATGGATATTGTGAAAATGGAACAAATGAATGATACAGGTAATGGTTATGATGATGATGATGATGATGGTGATGCTGATGATGAAAACCAAAATTAAGACTCCGCATGAGCCATTGCGCAAGCCAAATAACTTAGTAAGCTCATAAGCCAGCTTGCAAGTTGAATAAGTTGTTTGGCTCTCATGAAGAGCTTTGACCAAAATGAAAGGAAACCAGTTAATAATAAGATTAATAAGAAAAAGTCATTAGAAAAATAGGCTAGAAAAAGTTTGATATTTGACTGAAATTGCCAGAATAATAAGCGATCGATTTTTAGTCAAACGTATTCATAGTTTGACTTTCGGTTTACGTTTCAAACTTGTAAGTGTTCGAAAGTACTTTCAGTACTACCTAAAAGGGGGGTTTCGGTGGACACCCCTAATGCTCACTTTTTTACTAGGTTGTAATGGCCCTTGCAAACAAAAATATCACACCAATACTTTGATTGGTCAGTCTTGAAATTAACACGCGGTTTACTTGTTTAAAAAACCAATAGAAAATTTTTAAGTCTTATATTTGTAATTTATTTTTATTATTATGACAAAGAAAAATTATACAATTAAATAAAAAATATTAAACCTAAATAAATGCCAAATGAATATTAATACTATATAATTAAATAAATAAAAAATATATAAATAAAACTAAACTAAACAAATAAATAATAATTAAAGCATGAATTTATAAATCACTTGGGCTAATATTTAATAATTTCTGATAACGATCAACAAATAAACTTTTACTCTTTATCATTCGCGAAAACATGTTACCAATTACAATTCCACCAAGCATTGGTAAATATCCTCCGCCTCCGTTCTAATTGTCGAGTAGAAAAATTAAAAAATTTTAATTATTTATTTAATAAAAAGGATTTTTATCATTTAATTTAATAATAATAATAATAAAAATATTGATAAATACCTTTCCGACAGTTACAATAATCATTTCACTTGGTGGTTTATATTCCTCAAGTTTATTACCATTATTACCACCAATTTTTGCCAAAATATTTTTAACAGCAATCGCAGAATGCATTCCAGCTCTATACGCTAATTTGGTTTCTTTGAAATTTGTAATATCTCCAACAGCAAAAATATGTTCATATCCAGGACCATCAAGTTGTAATGTTGGTTTGACCTTGACCAGTCGAGTATTTGCTTCGATCAATGTTTCGTCAAAATTTTGAACAAGATCTGTATTTGGTTTTGTGCCAGCTGCAAAGAATTGAATATCCGATTCAATTACATTACCTTTATTGGTTGTCAACATTAATGGTGTTAATCCGTCACCGATTTCCGTTGCTGACAAGTCAATCTTCTCGCCAAGAATAACTTTTACACCTAAAGCGTTTAGTTCTTTAAGAAGATTGTTTGGTAATTTCTTTGGGTATTTATCATCAAGTAGATGTTGGCCACTATGGACCAAGGTTATTTCTTTTTGTTTGCCATAAACTGATCCAAGTTCTCCGGCAATTTCTATTATTAATTAAAATAAAAAATATTAATTAATAAACAGAAATAATCTTAAAATAAATGATAAAAATAAAAATAATGGCAAAACCTACCAACACCAACAGGTCCGCCACCGATAATTAAAATCTTTTTGGCTTTTTTGACTGCTTCTCGTTTATCGACAATGTTTTTAACAGCTTCATCTTTATTATTGCTCTCCAATTTTGCAGGTACTGGATAATCACTGCCGGTTGCAATTATCAAATACTTGAATGGAATAGTTTTCATATTTCCACCACGATTATCAATATTTTCATCCACTACAACTTCGTTGTTATGAATTGCAACTACGTTAGCTTGAATAACCTTGTTTTTATTGGATTGGAATAACTTGCTATATGGAAGTATGATTTGGTTTTCGAAATTAGCTTCGACCATTGTACGTAAACCGGCAACCGAATGATAGAAATGTGATTTACGATCAATTAATATGATATTATAATCAGAATTAGTTTTAAGGAGTGATTTTTCTAAATCAATTGCCGATTGAACTCCGGCATATCCACCACCAACAATTACGATATTATTTGCTTCAGACATGGCGAGTATTATTAATTGAAAATTTTAAATCGAGAAATTTTTTGATTATTAGAAAAATAATACGATTGATATATTTATTTATTAATAATGTTATGAATTATTTAGAAAATCAATTAATTATGATTGATATATATATTTATTTTAATGTTATGAATTATTATTATTTAGAAAAATAATTAGTTATAATTGATATATATTTACTAATGTTATTAAAATTGAATTGTTAGAATTAAAATTTTCATGCAAATTTTGGCTCTCTTATATAGTTTTGTTTCGCTTAATTATGCGATAATTTTTAACCTATAGTTTCTCTTGTTCCTTGAAATAAAAAAAATTTGTAATCTACCGGATGTATTAATAATTAATTTAATATATTACTAACCTGATTCCGGACTAAATTATATTTAAATTTTAATTGGTAATTGGTAAAATCGGATGAATGGGATTGATTACTAATTAATCAAATTAGTAATCGACCTTTATAAGTATTTGTGACCGATGATCACGACTTATTATATTATTTTAATCGACCTTAATCGACCCAAGATTATTTAATTGCTTATAAACACAAATTTTCTTTTGAAATTCTGAAATGGTATATAAAAAAATGTAGTGAATTCGTGTAACATATTTTTATTTTACCAAATTTGATTACGTAGTTACTTGTTGGGATTGAAAAAATTTTGGGGTGGTTATTAAAAGAATCCTAATATTAATATGCAAATACGGTCACGCGATAAGTCGGTCTTGATATTCAAAAAAAAAAAAAAAAAAAGAACGTTAGATTCAAGTAAAAAAAATATATACATGAATAAATATAAAGAGTTGTTATCGACATGGAAAAATATTTGTTGGAAAGCTTTAATGACCTAGTTTCACTGTATAAAATTAAATTTGGCCAGGTATTTTATACGAAATCAATAATTAATATATTAATTAATACAAAGGTGCACACGCTTACACATAAAATATAGATTTTTAATGACAAAAATCGATGTTTGATTTCGATTGATAATAATGCTATTTATTTAATTACATTTTAAAAAGAATGAAAATTTTAACTATAATCAATTACATTTAAATAAAAACTTCTACATGTCCAATTGTTATTTTAGCTATTACAAAATTTATCTAGAACAATTTTGATGAATTATTACTCATAAATAAAAAAATCAATTTCGTATTTATAAGAATAAAGAAGCACCGGTGGCAGCAGCAGCAACAAATGTAAACAAAATGCCGCTAATTTGAAGATTTGATGAGTCCGATGATGACATTCCATAATCGCGTTTAACTAATTCACCTTCTTCGGCCATTGAGACGGCGATGAACATAAACAATACTAATACGAGTAATTGGATATTTTTTTGCATGTTGAAATTTGATTTAAGTAATATTTGTAGTATTTTGGTTAATTTGAATGTAATTTTTGGATGATAAATTTTTATTATTGAAAGAAATATGTTTTTGAAGAAAAAAGAAAAAATTGGGATTTTTATAATCATCTATTGAATGAATGCATGTGATGAATGAAACATATGAAATGAAACACTTATTTAATTTGTGCGAGGTTGAATTAACACGAATGGATAATTGACATCTCAATGTTTTTCTTGGCTGAACACAAATAAATAATAATATTGATCGATTAGATAAATATTTGATTACTATCACAATTCAAAGATTAGAATTAATGGCCGCTTAAATGAAAAAACTGTCATTTGATTTGAATTGTGTAGTAAAGTTTTATGTGGTCGCTGCTTCCAAATTTGGAGATAGATTATAGAATAAATCCGATGCTCTTATATTAATTTGGCGTGAATTTCAAATTGACCGTCGTATACAAGTAGGTCGATCAACTCATATTCAATATGTGATGGATGATTCATACAAGCAATTTAACGTTTTATTCCACGCAAATAAATAAATAATTTTATTTCAGATAAAGTTATATATACTAAACTATACATATAATATATTTAATAAACTTAATAAACAAAAGATTTCTTAATCTTATTTAACTTCATATTCAGCAAAAAATCCAAAATTGTTCTTTTCAGGTTCAAATACAATGCTCCAAGTTCCCTTATGATTTAACGTGACGTCTGCTGAATAATAAACTGCTCCTTTCTCAACTCTATTTGGTGGCGATGATCTTTCCAGTTTTACTTGTGTCTTGAACTCATCACTACAAACATATAAATTTGGAATGGAACCACCATCGCAATCATTTTTATCATAAGCTATCATTTCAAATCTTGTTTTCTTGTTATAACAAAGTTCTTTGCTAAGAGGCTGAATAATAGTTGCTTCGAATGGCGCTTTGTAAGTTTTCAAAAATTCATAGTAATTTTTTCCTTTCCCATGATTTTCAACATTTAATGTCATAGTGATTTCTCCCTTTAATTGTTCCATCAAAAATAAAAACAATGAATAACGGTTCTTTTATAAATTGATGATAATAGAAATTCTTTTTAAATAATTAATAATTACCCGATTTTGTCCTTCAGGAACCAAGAACACCGACAAAATGCCTTCGCCATGACTAGGACATCCAAAATTAAATCTGTGCAATGCACCTCCATACTTTCCAATCATATGAAGTCTCTGATACAATCCCTTTTCTTTTTTCTTCTTCCACTCCAGATTGACAATAAAACTAATTGATTTATTACGTTGTTTGGTTTGTTCCAAATCAAAATGCATTACATCATCTTTAACTACAATCTTGTCGCCATAAAATTGCTCAAATTTTAATCCATATTTGAAAAATTCTGATTTAACGAATGGTAAATGAATGAATTCAGATTTTGTTATTGCAGGTTGTAAATATTGGTGATCTGGATCGTTTGGAAAATGTGTATAAATAAATTCTATTGGTGATGTAAGGAAGAAAAAATCATCAAATTTTTTCTCAAAGTCTGGCCCATTCAGAACACCGGCTCCCCATGTACTATCAATCAACAAAAATTCTCCTTTATAGTTTACACAATTCCATGAATGGTCATGCTCTCGTCCAACATCTGATCCTGGATTATATCCAGCACCTATGGAAATTGTTGTTGTTGGAATGAAATTTATTATTGAATAAAAAAAATTATTTTTTTTCAACCCCTCCCTCCAAAAAAATATTAAAAATGTTTTTCATACCTTTAGCAACTCCACTTATTTTGGATACTTCTAATCCAGCAGCATTTGCCAAATCTTTAAATAATTCACTGTATCCTTCACAAACTGCTTTTCTACTTTTCAAAATATCTTGACCATCTTGACATGATATTTGTCCTATAAAATAATAACAATTAAATTACAATCACTCACTATTATTACAATTACAATTACAGTTGTTAATTCATTCATTCAAACGTGTTCACATGAATCTGCCATACCTGAAAAAAAAGCTTTTGTATCATAAACAATATTATCAGTAATCCATATAAATATTGCACGTAATTTATACAGTGGGTCGTCACTCAATGTTGATGTTAAATATTCTGATAATTTTGTAATTGATGATTCATCTGATTTTTTTGCTGCTCGTGCGTGTTTATCCACCTTTGAAAAATCAATTTCTATATATATATATATACACATATATATATTATTTATTTATTTATTTATTTAGTTGAGAAAATAATAATAATAAGACATAAAATCTATTAATTACTATTATCATCGAACAATACCTGATAAATCAAGGTGATGACCTTTAAAATCCTTAGTTACAATAAAAGAACATTTACTATAAATGGATGATTAATCAAGTTAATATCATTATATTTATATAAACTAAAATATTATAAAAATTTGATTTTCTAAAAATACCTAAGTGGATCCACTTTTCCACCTACTGTTCTTTCTCCACCTACAGCAGCCCCTCGTTGCTCCTTACCATTACTGCTATCAATATGATGTTCACTTTCTGAAGAATCACCATTATTTGATCCAAACAATGACAGTTTACCAATGGCTTTATTAATAACCTTTTCAACTTTACTATTATTTTTATCATCTTGTGAATGATGATATTCTTCAACGATTTTCACCTTTTTTTTTGGAAATACACCAAAATCTTTTGATTTTGTCAAGCATCCACTCCACCATTCATCATTGTCTAAAAGAAAAGCAATTAATTATTTTAGAAAATATTAATTTTGTTAATTAGGTCATACATGATGATGAGAAATTTTGGATTTTCTAGAAACTTCCTTTTTAAAGAATAGTGTGTCTTTTTGTAAAATGCGAATTTAAAATATAATTATTCTATTTACAGTCACACTATCTTTAATGAGATGCTTTCAAAAAAAGCAACTAAAGACTAGGAGATATAGAACACAAATAAAGAAACAATCATTGAATTTCAAGTTCAAAAACTAGTACTAGTACTAGTATATTTTTTCGAATTTTATGAATTTCGCCATCATGTATGAATATTAATATGAATGAATTACGCAATTTCCTATTTATTTACCAAGTTTAAGAACCTCAATTATATCACCATTGTCAAAAGATATATCCATTGGATGTGTACTCTTATAATCACCTATAGCCTTAGCTTTATATATAGGATGCCGTGATAATTCTTGCCATTTAATATCTTCTTTCATTTTTAATTAATTAATTATTAATTAAATATTTTAGAGAATTAGAAAAAAAAACATGTGCGTGGGATTATTAGATGCTTTATATGATAATTACTATCATTTTTTGGATAAATTGTTTTACTTAATTAGAAATAATTTTCAAATAATTAAAAAGTTGATAATAAGAAAAGAGTCTGGCGTGTGTACGTGCGTGTGTTGTTTTTACAAAAGAAGACTTTATTTTGACGATAATAATAACAACAATGACTAATAAATAAATAAACATTTGATAATCGAAATAATCTCGCCGATTTCAAAATAATTACGTTATCGGTTATGTCATATTTAAACAACAAGAAATAATAAAAAAGCGTCAATAATAATTTACCACCGAGTTTTTAACCGGCATATCCGAATACATCAAAGATGGTTATATATAGAACACATACAAGCAAATGTATGTTATTCTATGCTTGTGGAAAAATAATAATTTAAAAGAAAAAAAAAAAAGCAGATTAAATTCTGCAGATCATCTATAATCCATTTTTTGTATATATCATTTAGATAATTTTTATTGTTCATGATTCGAATTATTAGCTAGTTTTTTTAAATTAAAAACATTAGTATTAGCCGAGCTCTATGTATATAGCAATAAACCGAAACTAAAAGCAAATCATTACAAGATTTGGACATTGTAATTGTAATTCAAACATGTAGATCACATGATATTTCTAATATCTACGTCTTCGCCTTTTTACAGCAATTTTTTTTTTTTGAGCCATGCAGGAAATATTTGATTTCTAAAGGGCATTCTTGCTAACTCTATTTTTTGCTTTACCCTGCTGCTTTTTGCTCTAAATTTTTTTTCTTCGGGTAAAGAAGGTTCTTAATATAGTTGGGAAAAGTAGAAAATTCCGATCGTAAAAATTTTATATTTGGTTTAGTATTTGGGACATGCTGTAACAAAACCAGACAAAGTGAACATTGGTATTACCAAAGATTTCAGGGATCAAAATTTAGTCATTTGTAATGTGATTATAATTAAAAGTTTTATAATGTCCCATTTGTTATATTAAGTGATATATAGAATTATCCCTATATAAAAATAGTTAATATGAAACTCATTTACATCAGATCTACTATGAACCCAAGAATTATAGTACTATCAGAAGTACCTTGAAGAAAGAACAAGGTGAGAAAATTGCTCCTTATGTTTTCAAATTAAGTAATACTCAGGCACTTGAAACTTATCTAGGGGAAAGAAAAGAGATGGAAATTTAAATAGAAAGGAATTTTGTATAGGAATGTTTTTGATTGACAAAAGACTTTAAGGAAATCCAGTTCCTGATAAGTTGCCAAATGAACTATTGGCATGATGCAAAGTTTCAAATTTGTATTACTTATGAAATTTAGAAAAATAATAAACAAAAAAATTAATAAAAGCTTATTAAAATGTTTTTTTAATGAAAGTAACGAATATTATATTAAAAAAAATAAAAAAATAAAAAAAAGAGTGATTCTAAAAATCAACTACAAATAATTTTTTAATTTTATGTTTCATTGAGCTCCACTTCTTTGAAATTGCCTGATTTTTTCGTAACAGGCCTAATTCTTGTAGCTCAACACAGTTTAATCTCTTGTTAAAAATATATTTTAAGAGTATTTTTGTTTCTTCACTGGTCCAGTTCCTAAACCCACGTAATGCTGGACCATCCTGTTCTATTAGACTTTCCTCGTCACTATTAATATTTTCCAACTCCTCAACTACCACTTGCATAACAGCAGGTTCTTCATTCTGTTCCTCATCATCATCATCCTCATCATCATCGTCATCATCATTCTTTAATAAAATGAAGTGATGGTTAGAGATTGTGTGGTTGCCACTTGTTCAACTTCCCAAAGATGGGCCAAAAAAGGTTGTTTGGATCAAATGATGGGATGATCCAATGTAAGATATAATGATGTAAAATATAAATGAACTGCAGACCTTGGTTGTTGTCTTGAAAAAATATTACTTGTTGCAGCAGTTGTTGGAATGGTTGTTTGATCGCTGTTATCATCACTATCGTTGCCATTATTATTTGTGTTTTCAGTTGGCTGTTGTGTAGTTGCTGTAGTAGTACTTTCTTTCATGTGGATTTCATTTAATATCCCACGTATTTCGTGTGTTTCTAATGGCTTTAATGGCATTCCACTGTATAATATGATCTTTTGAACGAGACTTTCAATATTTATTATTTTATCGTTGTCAACCTATTACAATATTATCAAAATTGAATTCACTAAAATAAAAATAAGATATTCATTTGAAGAGAATGCAATTTACTTACAATAGATGATGATGATGTTTGTGAAGAAGAAATCTCACTAGTAATGAATTAAAAGCAATGATGATTATTAAAATATTAACTAGAGTAACGACGAGTGGCAGGCGATAACCACCACCATCCTTAAAACACTTAGTCGCATCTTTCCCTATCATTTGCATTAATTCTTTTTTTAGTATTTTTTATTCTGTTGGACATTTTAATAAAAAAAAAGTTTGTAAATTGATCGATGCGCACATTAATTATTTATCCTATTGGTTTTTTTTTTGGGAGGACAGGCGCAAATTGATTTTTTTTTTTTTTTTTTGGAAAAACAATTTATTTTTTGACAGAGTCCAAGGTGACAAAACGTGAATGTTGTTGTTTGGTTTGGCTTGGTCTCCTAAAGAAAATGTGTTAATAACAAGCTTATAACTGAGAACGCAATGTGAGCCTTTTGCTTTTCGTGTTACAAAACACACATACCGTTCTACACGAGAATAAAAATTCAATTAAGTTGGGTTTTGCGTCTTCTTCGTCGCAAAGAGCAAAAAAATGACATCACTC